AAATTTTCCCCCAAGCGAAGAAAGGGTACCGGTATCTAGTGGAATATTGCAATTTCTTTTTTAATTCAATGATTTTGCAATTGCTCTCATTTTAACTTCGTATCTTAAAAAACGTTTTGTAAATTTTTACGAGTTAAAATAAATACAAAAAATTTTATACTGGAATCGTAATTGATTTTTAAAACTATAAAATTTTTTTTAATAAAAAACTTTTTTTCAGTTTCTCCCACGGTTCGGTCGATTTTTTTATTTTGTTTTTACAAAAAAAGGCAGCCTTCTTTCAAAAACGTGAAATAATGAGTCAAATGAATCGATTTTGTGGTGATATCGATTTAATCGATTCTTCTTGAAGCTTTTCCCCTTAATAAATGTTTCTCTCGTCAATATAATTAATGAGAGGAGAGACATGGAAGTTCCTCTAAGGTATTTTACCAAGTTTGTGTTTCGCAATTTTATTTTAATTAATAGCTTGAGTTCACTGTTATCGAAAGGTCGAGTTTTTTAAGTAGCTTTTTAAAGGGAAAAACAGTAATTGCTTGAGAAAATTTCATGGGAGGAAGCACGGTGCTAAAAGTTGTAGATAAAAGGCAAGTAATGAAAAATAGACGAAAAAGAAGAACATTTAAAGAAAATCACTTTAAAATATGCAATAAGAAGAATTGCATCGACAGCAATTTTAGAGTTTTTCAGTTAATTCTTATACAAAAATTTGGCGTTTGCTTACTTGTATTACAAAAAAAAAAGAAGTCGACCCTAAATAAATGAGGTTTACTTTAAAATAGTTATTTGAAACATAAAAAAGTGTTACACGTAGACTAATTATTACATATATAATTTTTCTAAGGGAATTTATAAAACATATTTCGAACAATTAAAAGCCAAATTTTACTCTAAAAGAATTATCTGGCATTCAATTTTAAATGCATTTCTAATCCACCCACGCACGCAATTCGATTTTATTTCGAATTTAACCACAAAACATCACATGAATTCTATTAGTATTTTGTACATATTCCTAAGAAATATTTTTATAGGGAAGTGATCCATTAAAAAAATAATAAAAAATCAATCTGATTTTTAAAAACAATTTTTTTTAAATTTAAAATTTAACCTTCTGTTTTTCAAATAAATGCCAGGAATATCAAACTCCCAAAAAAAAAATATTCTTTTTTTTATTTCTTTAAAGTATTTACAGTTCTCATTTGAGGATGAACAAAGAAAATATTTACATTTGGGAAGGGAAATAAAACCTTATATGTTTGAAAAGGGGTAAGACAAGTGGTAAGTAAAAACTCCCCGGAAACCGAGTACCGTTTCGTTCTACAAAAACCCCACTGTAGAATTGGAACCAACCCATACGCCCACGTTCTGGTTTGCTTGTCAGTACAGTGAAGACATTACAGTCGGATATTTTTTTTTACACTTGCAAGGCGTTCGAAATGTTCAAGACGATTACCAAACTCTCTGACAATGAAAATGTTCTGTAATCCGTTGTTTGAACGAAAAGGAATAATCACCCAAGTTGAAATTCATTGTAAACTTGTGGGTTTACAATAAAAAAGGGCATAGAATGGGAGAAAATGGGTTTGACAGTTCAAAAAGGGATTCCCAATTTAATGAATGCAGAGTAAAACAACCTTCTGTTTTTAATTTAAAGATATGGTTGGTGAAAAACGAATAGTGAAATTTTTAAAATCGTTGTTCGGGAAAAAAATAGCTTTGTATTTCTACAAAGAACTGTGTTCACCATATTTTTCTTTTTATGGATATTTCTTTGAAATAGACAAATTGGTTTTTTATATAGAGACAAATGCCCAAAAAATGAGGTAACTAAGAAAAAAAAAAAGTTTCCACATGCTCTTTCTTAAAAAAAATTTTTTTTTGAAAAAAATCTTATTACGCAAGTTTTTCTTAAAAATGTCCGACTACGTTCGGGAAAGTGATTTTCAAAAGGTATAAATGGATAAAATTTATGATACTTAGTGTCATTTGATTAAAAATGTATAAAAAATTTTTTTTAAAAATAGTATTACGAAAAAAATTTTTTATATACAATATTTTTACAAAAAAAAAAACTGAAACCCCTTTTTCAAATACTCTCCTTTTGTGAAAAAAGCTTCTATTATAATAATATATTGCCTGTAAATAAAGCTCAGACCCTTTTACAGAGGTCAACAAATTTTTGGGAAAAAATATAACAGAAGTGGGTTTATCCCTGTTTTTACGACAGCAGGGGATAAATTTTAAGTTGAACTGAATTTTATTTTCACGATTGTTTTGGGTGAAAATACGATATTTTTGATAATTAATAAAATTAATTGCTACTTAATGTTTGGGGTTCTTTTCATATGTATATACAATTTATTTAATTTTAACGATTTTAAAAAATTGCTAAAATAAAATTTTTTTTTTCTGGGGGGGTCTAAGTGGGGTTTATTACCTGGCCACCGTAAATGTAAATTTTTTTAAGGAACAAAAATAACTGAAATTTACATCATCATTAGCGGAGGTGGATATGCAAGTGATTAGAATTTTTTGCGCAGACACACATCACTTGCCGGGGTCACCTCAAAGGCTTTTGGGGGTTGGGGGAAACTCGACGATTCAAGTTTGGCAAAATGTATTTTTCTTGTAGTTTTTTTAAAACCGATCAGTTTTGTCTCGTAGAAAGCAGCGATCAGCTTTTGATCAGAATATCCGAGTTCGACAGAGGAAGGATAGTGGCCTACCGAGATTGTGGATTATCTTTAAGGAAATCGGTAGTCGTGTTGGACGTGAAAGCAAGCAACTGTAATGCGGATATGTGCCCATTGGATGTATGAGGGGTACGACAGACCAATGTAATGGTCGATCGCATCAACTCAGTGCACCACTTCCCATGAGGACAGGCAAATTGTGGCACCATGGCGGTGACATGAATCGCTCGAGATCACATCACCCCGGACCATACCACAGCACATTGAGTGTGTAACGCATCATTTAGTGTCTGCGCGTACCATTCCGACGCCATTTTACAGCAGAGTGTGGTCTGTCCGCAAGACGTCCATTTGCTTGGTCTACCCTTGACGCAGAACCACAGATGTCTCCACCACCAATGGTGCGATGAAGAAAGGATAATGGTGGCAGAATGGAATGGGATTGTCTTAACTGACGAGTCACACATCTGTCTGCAACACCACGATGGTCAGTTCGAGGTGCAGGAACACCGTGGAGAGAGGGATGCTGTGAACAGCTGCGTTATGTACCGCCACACTGGTCCTGCACCGGATGTATTATGGTATGGGATTGTTGTTGGATATCACTCGCGCACTCCTTTAGTACGCATTACCGGTACTGTAAAGCGGCCAGCGCTACATTTCGGAGTGTTGGAGCCAGTTGTTATCCTTCCTTACCTTCAGGGCTTGGCCCACAGCCACGCCGAAATTCAACAAGGACGCGACAAAGGTTCTTCATCAGTCACCAGATTGAAGATTGCTTCCTTGGCTGTGCTCTCCGGATCTTTTCGGCGATAAGAAAACATGTGGTCATAGTTTGTTCCACGATTGACCCAGATTACACCCCAGCTGCCACCTCCAGATCCCAACTTTGGCAAAGTGCTGAAGCTGCTTGAGGGTCTGCTGTATTAAGAGGCTACACTCAAAGTCTCTTTGAATCAATGCCGAGGCGTGTGGCAGCGGTGGTCTTCCACAATGACGGCTACTCTGGCTAATGATTCTGGCAGGAACCACACTTCCCAAGAAGTCTTTAAATTTAATCATTTGATACTTGGTCAACATGTTATCTACAAAATAAATTTTGTTGTGCTCTCTCTTGTCTTCCTTGGTGTTGTATTTACGGTGGCCAGCAGTGTACTTGTGTTTTTTTTAGCAAATACCCTGATACTGAGAGAGCATTGGAATTTCTAAGAACAATAAATAACGCATGCGTGGTCGTTATGAAGAAATTTATAAGACTACTCACCAAAGAGTAAACAAATTTCCATCAATGTCGCGTCCAAGAATAAATCAACCATTTTTTCTGAATTGTGAAATGCAACCATAATCTCAATTAATGAAGCACAGCACCATTAAGAGACTTTGATGAATTTACTATTAGTGACTCGGAAAAATATTGAAGTCGTACATTCTAGCAGCATCAAAGGAAAATTTCACTCTTTCCAGCTCTGAAGCAAAAGAAAAAGATGGTTCCTATTGCTGTCTCCTAAAACTTATACATGCTATGAGAATAATTTAAATGCGAATTATTTAAGGAATGATGTTATTTTATTTTATATTTTTTGGTGGTTTGTGCTTTGAAAAATCGCTAATTGTGTTGTTTTATACGAGATATTGTTAGTCTGTTTTCGTGATTTTTTATCAAAAAATAAGTTTGAATAATAAATCGAGAGATACAGCGTCCTGTTCCTAGAAACTTACGTAGGCTGTATGAATCCCAGTTTGATTAGACATGCAATAGAGTATTGATTAAATGACGCGGTTTTTAAGGATCAAGGAACTCAAATCCAAATTCATTTGACCGAAACTTTGTTGTCGTAATTCACAACGCTGGCCATGGATGTAAAACAGCTATCAAAAGCAAAAAAAAAATTCATTTAAAAATTTACACTTTCATTAAAAGGCTTCTTGCAAATAAATCTATTTCAAGGCTGACTTAAATGATGTCAAATTTTCAAAAATAAAAAATGAGTACTTGAAAAGTCTTAGATTTTAAAGTTTTCTATTTCAGGGGTTTAAAACAAATTGATATATATAAAAATCGAGGAGTCAATTCCTACTTAGGTCAACAAATTTAAATAGCTACATTTAATATATAAATAAAGTATATGGTTTGACGAATACTAGCAGTGGTAGCAAAATAGAAAATGATTTTCCTCCCCATTTTTTTTTTTTTCTACACAGGGTGTTGGACTATTTTTTTTGTTATTTTATTTATTCATTTAATAAATTTAATTATATTCTATGTAAGGTAGCACAGTAAAAAGTCATCTTTCGAAATTAGCCTATCCCAGGTAGGATTCGAACCCACGGCCTTTGGATTTGAAATGCAACGCGCCACCCATTGCGCTACAGGGACATAACGAACAATTTTCCTTTCTATATATGCTGTTGGACTATTATTTCTGTTTGTTACATTTTATTCATTTTAATTTAATTAATAGAGTTAATATTTAGAAAAACTCCATTTAATCGTGTTGTCATCTATTACAAGTTTAAAAATTATATTTGAACTTGAATGGAAGAATAGAAAGTATTTTATTAACGATTAAAGAATTTGAACAAGGTATATATATATATATATATATATAGGGAGAGAGTATGAAATAAGACTAATAAAAGAGGGGTGAAAAATTACAGAATATTCTCCTTCCCTAACCCTAAACATACACATTCTTTAATTCATATTTATACTTTAAGAAGTTTTTTTTTATTCCAAAGAGATTTGTTTACGTTGAAAATAAACGTAGCACTCTTTGAAGAGAGATTTATTTTGAAGAACAGGTTTATATATATTTCTTATACCGTACAATTTTTGAACCTTTCTAAGACTGAGAAAATTCAAAATGGGTCTCTTTCATACACGAATAGACATCATTTGTTCCGTCACAAAATATATGTCTGTAGATTGAATCCCTTTCCTCACCTATAAATTTCAAAGCAGAGCGAAATAAATTCCTCAGACAAACGATCTGTGTTTCCAGAAAAAATACGCTCCCAGAAAACGGATAGTTTTACACCTTGGGAGCTATTTTTAACACTTTCCCCTGCAGGATCACTAGAAATGAATTGAGGTTTACCCAGAAACTCGAGGAAAGAGAAAAAACTCCTCACGCATAAAACTTGATTCTATTGCAGGGGATTCGGGTATACAAAATAATAAATATTTCACCAAATAATATTTTTTATCAAGAAAAACTTGAATGGTACACATTCTCTGTGGGGTGGATGTGGATAAAAAAAATAAAAAAGAAATCCCACTATGGAATATTCGATCTTGAGAGTAATCCACAAGGGGAGGGAGCGAGAAAGAAAAGCTGGGATTATCGCGAAATACGCTATCAAAAATCGGAGGCAACAGGTTGTATGAGGGTGTAGCATTCAACAATAAGATTGTGCAGGATTCGGAGGAATCTTGCTTAAAATTCAGCGCAGATTAATGTTTTGTAAATATTGAAGGTTTGTAAATATGTTTGGGAATGAGATTCTGGTAGTGAAAATACCGCTATGTGTGGATTGGAAGGAACACATTTATTGTCTAAGAGTTGGTTTTGGTAAAGAAGTTGATTTTCGATGTATGTACATATAAATCAAAACAATATAACTATCATTTAACCATTTATTTACAGAACATCTTGATTTTTTTTAAATTTTTGCTAATTTACCCAAAAATAATTAATTTAACGATAGATTTATGGTTTTGCTCTAATGGTGTAAAAGCTTTCTTTAAAGGCTAGATTTTAAGAAAACTTATTCCAAAAATGAATGCAAGAGTGAATTATAAAAAGTAAAAAACGTTCCGAGAATATACAGTTTTAAACTTTATGCAAATTTCAAGTGCATATGCAAAATTTTTATTCCTTTTCGTTTCATAATTTAATTTTCATTTAACGTATTTTATCACTTTTATTTTTTTTCAAACTTCATTTTTAAATAGCATTTTTATGGCTTAAAAATATTTATATACTCCTATAGAAAGATATGTGTCTTAAAAAAATTAAAAAGTAAACAATAAATCTAAAATCCGATACTGAAAAAATGGATGATTCCGACGAAAACTGCTTTATATTCGTTCCTTTAGTGTTTTGTTAGAAATATATACAGGGGGTAGCGATGAAATTATGTTTCACGTTGTCGCAGGCTGATTATCCGACTTCTTTATTAACGATGATAAATGAATTTCTTTTACATACTGAGAAAAGGGAATGCTTCCAAAATAGTTGTATACTCTGATTTAAATGATGTACATATTTCTACTTGCAAAATATACGAAATATTTTTCCTTGTCATTTCACTCTTAACGTATGTACGGTAGCCGAGTGGTATAGGTATCGGATCGTGGCTTGCCTGGTTTTACAGTTCGAGCCTGAGTACCCACTTAAGACCCGCCGTGTAGATCCAGCGATGCACGTTAAATCTGCCGAGCTACAACGTCACTCCCGTTGGTGTGGTGTGATACTTAAGAGGGGGGTGCCAGCTCAGGTGTCGTCCACGTCACTTGACCATGGTTCAAAATTACGTGGTCCGTCGCCGAAAATCCTAGTGTAGCTGAACAGTGCGACGTTAATATTCAATCAATCCATCACCATTAACGTAATGGAGCATGATATTTTCTGTAAAATATCATTAAATAAAATAATCAACATCACAGTAGCTCTAAGACGAAGAAATCTTTTTTTATGCCAGTTTGTAGGTCCAGTGTAGGTAGGAAGGTAGGTTTGTTTGTAAATTTACCATAAACAGGGCCCATTCTGTACAAAAGTTTATTAACAAATTTTCTCAGTTATATGATCTGTTGCTTCGCTATTCCTTTTGAAATGACCTTCATGTTAAAGAGGTATTTTAATTTTTACCAAACTAGAGCACTTTATCTTGCAAGGGGCACGACTAAAATTCATTTGGGGTCTAGATTTGGTGTAACAGTAGTACTCCTTTGCGGTGTTCAACCCCTCAATGTAATTCCGCCGGAATGGCCAGTCAATTCCGAAGGAAAAAGCCTTCAAATTCATGGCGCAATGGCGTGCGTGCGTATTGTGCTTAGCTTTTATACATTTTATACAATTAAATGTGATAATTTGATAACGGGGTTAGTAGCGCCAAGTGGTTGTTTATGTTCATAACATGGGTGATAAGAGTATTGCAATATGGTTGGCTTGAAATTTCTTCGTTTGGTGATGTGTGGTTGTCATGGAGATGTTTCACGTAGTTCATTCTAATTGGGTTTTTTTTGCACACGCTAATCCTGTGTGTGGTACAGACGATTTTTAATTTCCTAAATACTTCATTATTGTGGTTTCTTTTTATTCGCGCGGACAAAATTTTCATTTCGGACGTTTTAATTCGAATTCTTCAAAAATGCTATCATTTTTCAGTCACCTGCTGCTTTTTTGCTCTGTTTTCTTTTCTGTTTCCGGACATATCATGGCTCTTCTTTTTAATTTCTTTGGTCTAAAGGGTAAACCAATTCGCACGGTCAGCTTTATTTTTAAAATAATGATTCTCGCTTTCTTGTTCCTTTCCAAAATTTCATATGATTTCGTTCGCGGTGATACCATGCGAAATCGTAGCCTGACATGAAGGTTGCTCCAGAACACATCGAAAATTGGACGAGTTCGTATCTTTTCACTGCGGAAATTCGCTGCCGCAGTAAAGAAATCCTCCGATTCAATTCTTTTTCAGGGGAGAAAAATTGCTAATTCAACCATTCTTCTTTTTAAAGAAGTTATGAATTCTTCCGACGTTCCTCGTTCGCTCAGATTTAAAAGATCTCGTTGGAAGCTGTTTGGAGTACCTAGACCTGTCGATGCTCTAACCTCCTATCGAAAGGTAATTTTGATATGCCTTTAGAGAGTTTTTACCATTTGCCCATTGTAATAAAAGAATTATTAGAATAAAAATTTATAGTCATGGGAATATAAATATCTAGTATCTTGGATGTGGGAACACAAATTAAAAATTTAAAAGAGCTTTAAAATCAAAAGAAAAAACATTGAAAATGACTTAAAAGTGGGCCGAAGATTAGCCTATAGCCAATCCGGTTGCAGCAAAACGCCACAGCAGATCTTGAGCGCAGGAAAGAAAGTTGGTAGGAAACGTGAGTCAGTCAGAGAGTTGAAAGGGGTTGATCTGATTGGCCGATACAAAGAGTTCGGTAAGAGGGGGGTATAAGTAGATTTGGGAATGTGGGTGACCCAATCAGGGTGTTTACAGCATTTCAGCTTGATGTTGAAGTGCTTTATTAACTGAAGAAAAATTTTTGAAAAGAGGAAAAATGATACAGGAAAAATTTAGAAGTAAAGTCTGGGTTGACCAGGATATCTCTTGAGGATGGCTTCTAACAGAAAAAATTAAGGAGGAAAAATAAGAGGGGATATCGGTTATAGATGAATTATTTAGATTCGTCTATATTGTTGAAAAAGTTAACTGCTAATTTTCAATTGTCTGTCTAATGGTGCTTGGGGGGATATTACAGGCGAATCCTAAGATCTTTTATTTCTCATGTACCAATAGGCATTGCAAATTTGCCTGATAATAATGGGCCCATTTTGGGAGTTTCTAGTAGGGTATATATTAGTTTTGCTTGCGTGTCCCCACACGGAGGCGTGAGTAAGCAATGGTTTTTAAGATCGGAATTAATGAATAAAAGCAGTTTATTATGTCTACTTAATTTAGACTTTCTGCAAATTAGGGTAAAGAAAGCTTTCGCGTAGTATTTTAAATTTATCTCTAATATATGTAATGTGTTGTCGGAAATTGAGATTTTTATTAATGATGACACCAAGGTATTTGGTGTGTTGAGACAGGGAATTCTTTGATTTTGCAAAGTAATTTCAGGGGGTTGCCTTTTGGAAGAAAACCGCTTCCGTCTTTGAACTGTTTAGAGCAATCTTCCACACGAGAGAAAACCATGCCTCCAGGTGGGCCAAGTGTTCGTTTATGTTATCAACAAAGTGTGTTGAGGTTTCTGTGTCTGCTGAGGTATAGTTGTGTCATCTGCATACAGGCAAATGATGAGTATTAGTACTTTTGATAATATCGTTTTACATAAAGATTAAGGGGTTGGAGCGAAATTGACCCTTGGGCCACTCCCGCACCAACTTTTAATTTGAGGTACGTGCGATTAATTCTAACAGAGAAGGATCTGCTTATCAGAAATGTAGGAATTAATAAGGAAGATAAGAAGAGGGGGCGAAATGTTACAAGGTAATTAGTTTAAAAAGAGTAGGCCCGTGTGCCATACTCGAATCAAATGCTTATTGAATATCAAGGGAAGAAGACTGCAGCCGAGCATTTCCATCTTTATTTGTTCCCTTCCTTAATAAACTCAACAACTCTGAGGAGTTGATGAGACGTGGAGAA